CAAAAAGCAGAGACAGGAGCAATTGTCAAAATTTTGGTGTCCTTCATTCGATTTCATCCTGGACACTACAGAAAATGGGCTTAAAGTGTAAAAAACCGAACTTCTCCTTTAAAAGATATAGTTTTGCTATATTTACAGGCAGGCGAACAACATAAATAGTCGAGGAACCAGGTGGAAAAGATCAGCGTTAATCAGCCACTGGGCCAATTAGACCGGTGAGCAGGAGCAAATGAAAAAGACTACCATCAGGGCCAAGACTATGAGGAAGAGCTTTTAACCAAATTATGTTTGACTCGGAACAGAATAATTCTTTTTAATAAACATGAAAGGAGGTTGTGGTTAATTTGTTCCACATAAATGCAAAACTATCTGTTTGACCATGATTAGAGCTCCACTCACTTTCATTTATTGTTCTAACATTGTTCTGATATTAATAATATATGATTAAATAAGATATATTATAATAACATATTAAAGTTACACAATATAGTCTGAGTTTATTGGCCTTTTTAGACTTAGTCTCAACTTTATTTCCCTTGGGATTGCTCCTTCAAGGAAATTCTGGTTCCTGTAGCTCATATAAAAAATAAAAAAACAAGATGCCATTAAAGATACAACAGAAAAATACAACAGACAACATGAAAAGAGCGTATATATACAAAAAAGCATTAAAAAGTTGTAATTTCCAGGAATATGTGTCCTTCAGATATAACATTATCTGCACAGTAGAGAGCTAAGGAAAGACTACAGTAGTTGCCTTGGATTATTGCACTTGTACTGAAGAGATGTACTGACCTTATAAATAAGTTTAAAAAAAATCAACAGGCTACACAGTAGTTGGCATGTGTTACTGCACAGTGAGAGAGAAGAATATTACACATGAGTGGCAATAGGTAATGTTTTGCACAAGATGTTTAAGGAGGGGGGTGCTGACCCTTGTCCCTCTTCCTATCACCTCCCCTTCCCCCAATGAGGAGTTGTACAGTTGAATTTGAGGAGGAGCAATCTCCCAGTGATCAGGCTCCTGAGTGGTGAAGGCAGTGTCTAGAGGTTGGCTGGCATTGTTCATAATGTCCACCCATTTGTTAAGTGTCCTTGTCTCTGCCACCGTCCCCAGAGGGTCCAGTGTCCTAACAATCACAGTCTTTTGAATAACCAGGACATTTCAGAATAAAACTCTGGTTCATTCTAAACTTTTACTGTCAGTCAGTATCCCAGAAGGATAATATAAATTTTCCTCCACAGGTTCCTCTGTGTGATATATCCTGGAGGTATCACAAAGATCAGAGTCCTTCAGAAAAACCTGCAGAGGGAGCTCATATACGTATACTCAAAAACATGCCATTATTTAAAAGCATGATTTTGAATCCCTTTGATTTTTTGAGTTCCTAAAGTAATTAATTGCTTTTCAGGTCAAAGAAGACATCTAAGTCCAGCTTTACTGTATTGAAGGGATACAGCTTTCAGGAGGACGGTCTTTGTCAGACACGTGACTGACACGCCCCCTAGCGCAATTTTTGTGGTGAGCGGAAAAAAAACAAAACAGCAGAAAACAAGAGGAGAGCGCTGCCAGCAGTGAGGATTATCAGTTAAATGGAAAAGAACAAGAAAACTGAACGGATACCCTACCCAGACAAACTTTCTAAAGCTGCTAGGGAACGATTTTATATATTATTATTACAGTGACAAAGCAGATGTTGTGGGCAGTTGCACAGATAGCTGCAGTTATTAGAGCAGTTTGTGCTGCTCATCAGACTGAACGAAAAAACTTGTCATAATTTGCTGTTCACTTTATCCAGGCCTGTTTTCACTGGGATCTGCAGTCTTCTTCACAGATATCACCTGTTAGGTCATATCTCTACGGAAGACCACAGACCACAGTGAAAACAAGTCCAGGGAAAAGGAAAATCTTCTAATTTAATCTAAAGAGCAATCTGCTATATACGAGGGAGGAAGAAAAAGCAAAACATTTGAAGCTTTGCACTGTTCTGCATTATTTATGTATTTGAGATTTTGTATTGCATTTTCATAAATTCTGCTTGATTGAAAAGATAATAACAACACTTGTTTCAAATTTCAAATCCACTCTTTATTGTACACACATTTTTACAACTTCAGAAAACATTGTTAATATTTGAAGTGATGGTGAAACTTATATTTGTTTTGCTGTTATTTTTCAAAAGTAACTTTAAAAAAAGCAAAATTCTATTTTTGTGAAAAGAAGAATAAAAAAAGAAGAATAAAGTTGAAACAGTACTTGATCTGGCATTCATTTATTAGCTGGTTTCTCTGTGAAAATTTCAAAACAGTCAATAATCACTGTGACTATGTCCAAAGGCCTCCACAAACTGATGAGGCATAATTTTGTGCAAGGTGTCTCTATCTGGCCACACAATTGCACGCTTTAGATTTGCATATAAAAATGACAGCATTTCATTGAATGTTCTGTACACAGTCTTTGGTGAAACACGGAAGAGATAAGCAAGGTGTTGTGAGGGCAGATCCAATCTCAGACGCATGAAGGTTAACAGAAGCATTTGAAATGGACTGAGAATTTTATTTTGAGCAGACATGAGAGGCAGCAGAAAATTAAACAAAGCCATAAAGGTTGCCAAGTTTGGTAGACCTGTATAGTACTGGACTTTTTCATTACTGTCTCCAAAGAAGCAATCAGAGATCCGCAGCTCATCAAGTTCACGCCGCAGCTCTGTTTTCTTCCAAAAGACGGTTGATCTCTGCACACCTGAGCACACACAGGTTACATTCTGTCTGTCCTTCCTGATGACCACCTTCTGTGTCATCCTTGGTGTTTGGACGGCCAACGTTTTCAGCAGCCTTCTACGTATCAGTCTGTTGCTGGTTAGGGTTCTCTGTCGCCTCATGTGTAACTTCATCCTGTCGCTCAAGGATTTCATCAGCCTGATGGAGCCCCGTTTCAGTTGCTTGCAGGGCATTCTTTTTCAGCTGTTCCCGATAACCACGTCTTAAAGAGCGGTCTGTGTCTGTTGGTTTGATGTCAGTGTGGCCCAGATGCAGGGATGGAGCCCAGTCTGGGTCAGTCTCCATCATCTCATATGCGGGTTGACCTGCAAAGTAGATGAAAGGTTGAGTGTTTTACACATCTATTCAAAACACTATATAAAGCACCTTAATAACAGAGCCCATTAGATTAGATGTGTAATAAAATAAGATAACCTTGTGTTCCACAGTGGGGAAATTTGCTATACCGAAACAGCACAAGCACATCGGACTAGTAAGGCCAGAGGTAAATAAATAAACTGAAAAGCTTACAGACGAACAAAGGATTATAATAAATAAACTTAAGTAGATTGCACAGGATGAATAAATACAGTGAGTTGGCTGACGAGTGGGTATGTACAGTGTTTTTATATGTACACTGTATTTATATATATTTATTCATTAAAAAAAAATATATTTGTATTGCAGATTGTGTAAATGATTATATACAGATAATGTATTATTTATTAAATTTTAGCGGTCTAAAAAAGAAATAAACAAAACAAACATCACTTTCCGCTTCTCTTCCACAGCATGTTTCAGTAGGTTTACATGAACTCCTGCAACTTTATAAACAAACCATTTTCAGCACCAGTGTCCCATTATTTCCAAAGGAAGCAACTAGAACACGTCTGCTCTCTGTTAGTTTTCTTTTGTTTGTTGCTGCTGTCTCTTAACCACAGAAATGGCGCTAACTACCCTAAATGCATTGCGCTTTTGCGGAAGTGACGTACACTGTCACAGACCGATTAAAGATGGCAGCCATAAAGGAACAAAAGAGAAGATAACTCCAGTGACTATGGGACAGACGTAAAGGAGCTGCTGGGAACGTTGCTTCTTGTTGTGATGGAGACATATTCCTCATATATATATATATATACACACACTACCGTCCAAAAGTTTGGGGTCACATTGAAATGTCCTTATTTTTTAATGAAAAGCCCTGTACTTTTCAAAGTAGATAACTTTAAACTAGTCTTAACTTTAAAGCAATACACTCTATACATTGCTAATGTGGTAAATGACTATTCTAGCTGCAAATGTCTGGTTTTTGGTGCAATATCTACATAGAAGAAGGCTAATTGATGATTAGAAAACCCTTGTGCAATCATGTTCACACATCTGAAAACAGTTTAGCTCGTTATAGAATCTACTAAACTGACATTTCTTAGAGCAGATTGAGTTTCTGGAGCATCATATTTGAGGGGTCAATTAAACGCTCAAAATGGCCAGAAAAAACTGAAACTCAACATGGTGGAGGTAATGTGATGGTCTGGGGTTGCTTTGGTGCTGGTAAGGTGGGAGATTTGTACAGGGTAAAAGGGATTATGAATAAGGAAGGTTACACTCCATTTTGCAACGCCATGCCATACCCAGTGGACAGCGCTTGATTGGAGCCAATTTCATCCTACAACAGGACAATGACGTTAAGCACACCTCCAAATTGTGCAAAAACTATTAAGAGCAGAAGCAGGGAGCTGGTATTCTATCTGTAATGGAGTGGCCAGCGCAGTCACCAGATCTGAACCCCATTGAGCTGTTGTGGGAGCAGCTTTACCGTATGGAACGCAAGAAGTGCCCATCCAACCAATCCAACTTGTGGGAGCTGCTTCTGGAAGCGTGGGGTGCAATTTCTCCAGATTACCCTAAACAAATTAACAGCTAGATTGCCAAAGGTCTGCAATGTTGTAATTGCTGCAAATGAAGGATTCTTTGATGAAAGCAAAGCTTGATGTAAAAAAATCTTATTTCAAATACAAATCATTATTTCTAACCTTTTCAATGTCTTGACTCTATTTTGTATTCATTTCACAACATATAGTGGTGAATAAGTGTGACTTTTCAGGAAAACACAAAATTGTTTGGATGACCCCAAACTTTTGAACGGTAGTGTATGTATATATATATATATATATATATATATATATATATAAAAGACTTAGCTGGGTGAAACGTGTGCGCGGGGGGCTGAGCTCAGAGCAGAGGAGCAGAGTGAAGGAGGAGGGTGAGGAAGAATCAGAGAGAGACAGCAGAGTGAGGAACAGGTTCCTTCTGCAGCCCTCAGCCTCAGCAGCCATGCCTAACTTTGCCGGCAACTGGAAGATGAAGAGCAGTGAGAATTTTGATGAACTTCTCAAAGCCTTGGGTGAGTCTTCTCTTTTCTGTCCTCACTGCTTAGGTTTGCTTTGCATCATGTCCAAATAAGGGAAAAGAGCCCTTTCTTGTGCTTTAGGAAAGACATGACTCCTAATAAAATCAGATTGTTGCGAGAAGCTGCCTGGAAAAGCAAGCAGAGATGATTCTGAGGGAAAATCCCTCAGAAAATCTCCCAGAATCACTGGGTGCTAAATTCCAGGCTAAACAGACGTAGTATTGTTACACGAGGTGAGAAAAGGGGTGGTGGTGGTGGCGGGGGGGTATAACATTAATCATGTTAAGTATTTAAGTAGGGCATGCATTACTGCAAGGGGAGGTTGGTGGATCACTGTGCTGTTCTTCTTTCTCTTGTCCTCTTCCATCCTTTGTCAACCTGCCTAGTATTTACAGATGATTGTGATGGTTTAGATTTAGAGCGGTTAAATTGGGTCATTCGATTGTGTTGGAGCGATTCGTCACGCCAGAACCAGTGAAACAGACAAGGACATGGCAAAAGAAGCTCGATGCCTGTTAGAATAATCTGGAATTCTTCAGGGAGAGGTCCCACCGATGAGCCCCTAAGCAGCAGAATGGGATATAAGTGGAGTTTTTGTGGATGCAATGCAGTGCCACAAGTTAAACTCACTAACCTCTATGTATGCAGGTTGATTTTATGAGACAGATCAACTCCAAGTACTTATTCCAGCACAAAATGTGAATGAGGAAAAGTGTGGTGTGCAGGATTACTCCAATACCCCCTACGAGCTGCGGGCTGCACAGATCTAGATCTAGACAGATCTGTCAAGACTTCTGAACCTTGGACCCAATATTCAAAGCATACAGATCAGCCAAATTTCTAAAAAGCCTTTTTTTTTTTTTAACAGTACAGCATGTAGCTGCTCGCTAGCTTGGGCGGATAAACCGGATCCTCTGTAGGGATAGAAACTCAGGACAGTGACCTAAAATAACAGGCTGTTCAAGACTGTGAGCAAATTCCCTAACCAAATTCTGAGTCCAGTTAGATCCCAGAGGAAGGAGATAAGTCCGAGAGGGAGAATTTCTACCGCGTGAGGTGTTCAAAGTGATTAGCAGGGCTGACGTCAGCCGACCCCGAGGAGCAAAAGTGTCCGTGAGGGAATATCCAGAGCCGAAGTCGAAGCAGAACCAGGCTTACAGACCAGAAGATCAGAGGTGGAGAATCCAAGCCGAGGTCAGAAGCACAGTTCAAGTTCGGTTGACCAGCAGAATCCAGGAATCAGTCCAGAATAAACAATACTGACTGAGCAGACAGGAGCAAAGCAATACTCGGATATCCAAAGGCAGAAACAGGTCAGAATCAGAATCACAGATCATATATTGAGAATGCTAGAGTAACTCTCAGAAAACAGCTCAAATAATATGGCACAGATAAGTAGCAGCAGGAACCAGGGGGACAACATGAGCCACCAATTTTGTCAGGTGACAGGAGTAAATTATGCACCAGCATCAGCGCCAAGATCATGACATCTACAGCTTGTTAGAAGACATGAGATGCAACAAACATTTTGAGGATGTTGACCTCTCTGGCCTTTAAGCAGAAGTTTTGTAGAGGAAAACCAACAGTACAAGATATCCTGAATGCACTATTTTCGTGGTGGAAGAGTAGATGGGTTTGTGGGTGTAACCAAACACAGTGGGTTGGTTGCACCATTGATGGTCATAACTCTGTAGTAGGTCAGTTCAATTAGGGTCTTTGGTATAACATGTTACAATCAACTTATTGGTAGACAGAAATATGTAACCACCGGCAGCAAAGTGAGATACCCAGGAAGATGTCTGCTAAGAAAAGTAAACAAACAAGAGCCAGTGAATGATCTTCATTACTGCTGCTGTTTATTGTCATGCTGATATGAGACTAGGCTGGAGATTTGGTTGAACTCTGGCCTGTCCAGTGGAAGAGAGACTTGCTGTCGAAATGCTCACCTAACTAGACCAGATCATTCAATGCCTTCTACCCAGTGGCAACTGGGACTGTACCACTTAGTGGAAAGACAGGAAAAAGTCTGAAATAAAGCATCCAAACCCTGAACATACAAGCAGGGCTACAATGGAACGGATGTCATGATCTTGGTGCTGATGGCTGGCGTAATTGCTCATTACATTTACCTGTCTAATTCTGCCTGGTTGCTCATTATCGCTCATCTTAGCCACCTGCTGCTGCTCCTGTACTTGCATCTAGATATCAGTGTGAAATTTTCCTTGTTGTCTCTGGCCATTGGTGAGAGGGGTTTCAGCGTATCCTAGTATTTCTGATTTCCTGTTCCTGACCTAATCCACCTGTCAGCCAATGAGCGGGTCTGTTCCTATCTGATCTCAGTGGAGAGAGGGATTTTTAGCTTACCATAGAATTTCTGAGTTCCTGATCCAGACCTGTTCTGCCTTTCAACCACTGAGCCAGCCTGTTCCCATCTGAACATTTTGCCTGAGCTGTCTGTGGACTTCTGGAACCTTGAACCAGCTTGTTCCTGTTTTGACCTGTATCTCTGACTGGGATTCAGACTCCTGGACCTCTGAGCCTTCCTGTTCTGATCTGTTTCCCTGACCTGGCTCAGACTCCTGACTCTTTGGGGCTGCAGCATCGGGACACTCTAGGCAGCGCCCGCCGCATCTAGTGTGCAATCCTGGAATCCTACCGTGTTCTCTGGTATGGACTGAGCAGCTGAACTAGGTTAGTGACTTACATGGACAATCATCCTTCTTCAATCCGATTACCATGATCGCTAAGCTGTGTTTCTCCCCAATAGAGCTTCTGTGATAGATGCCCTAGCTCCTGATACCACAGATCCACAGCTAGCTTGTTTTTAAATAAATGGTTTGAAGTAACTCACTGTCTGTCTCGCTTTGAACACTGGGTCCTTCTGTTCTGAATTATGACAATGATTCAAGTGTTAGAATGGCCTGGTCAAAGTCCACAGTGGCCCAGTTAAAGTCCAAACTTGAAAACTTCTTTTTAGAGATTATCAAGCTATTTTCACGACTAATTAGTAAAAGAAAAAAAAAAAAACATTGTTCAAGTTGGAGAGTTGGAACACCAAAGAACTGGATGAAAAGACAAACCACATATTTGTCCATATATATATTTACCTGAAAACCTAAAATGATTTTCATAATCTGCGATAACACATCTTAATGCCACACATTAAATCCAAAGTTTATATATTTTTTTAATTACAGATTCTTACACTTAATGATTCAAGTTTAGTAAAAAATTTGATTGTTTAAAAAAAAGAACTATAGTACAAAATCTGGAAATATTTCAGGTTTGTCTGAGTGACTGTTCCTTCTTCTGTGTCTTTTCTGTCACCCTTTTTTTCTTAAAGACATACTTGAGAAAAGCATAAAAACTGGAAGTAAAATATCAGGTTTTCCTTCTTTATTTGTAGTTCTTTTTCCCTCTCCATGTTTTGTGTTTTTAAAGTTGCCAGGACAACAGCTTCTTTGGTGTGATCTTTGGTCTGATGGAAAAGCCTCTAGGTTTAACACCTCATTCAACACATAAACCACATCTGCTAGGGAAGGTCAACAGTTAGTTCTTAGAGAAGACGGTGGTCTGAGAGAGAAACAGAGAGAAGCATCTCTGATGGCTGTCTGATGCGCAGTTCAACGCCACGGGGCCACAACGTTCTAAGTATCTGATGAGTCAACGGTTTCCATGTAGTAGAAAAGGATTGATACAATATTTGTTAAAAAAAAATATTTCATTATGTTACAGGGACTATATGTAATGTGTTTTTTTGTGATATGGACACAGCATAGAAGAAAACTGTGAAGTGGTAGGAAAAGTAGACTGTGTTTTAAAAATGTTTACCCTCTTTAGTCTGACACCCTTGCAAAAAATGTATGCTTGCCAATTGGCTTTAAAAGTCAAGTATTAATAAAGGTGTTCACTGGGTGCATTTTAATCTCAGCATAAAACTGAGCTGTTCTACAAAGTTTCTGATGTTTCCAGAGAACATTAAAGGAAAAACAGCAACATGTTCGCTAATAGTAAGGAACACAACAGACAGGACAAAGCTCAGGTCTATTTCTGGAAAATGAAAAAGTTATAATAATATTGCAAACTTACCAAGATATTAGCATCTGCCTAGACTGAATGGACAAACAGAACATTAATATGTGAAGTGGCCAAGATGGGCTACAGTTTAGGAGCAAGACAGCTATTAGCTCTGTACTTTACCGTAGGAGAGTGACAAGAAGAAATATGTTGAAAAAAGGCCATTGGAAATCTTTAATACCAGCTAAGATGCAATGTACAGCTGTCTTTAGGAAGGGACTGAGTGAACGGTACTTAAGGGAAGATTAGCTCCTTCATTATCTGCTATCTTTGTCTTGCAAACATGCTCCTCCTGGAGCATCCTGCTGCGACAATCTTTGCTTGCATTTTGTTGTTGACTCTTCAGCATTCCCTCACTCCAGGCATGCATGTAGCGACAGTAGAGAAGAACACTCCCCTTTAAAAGACAGAAACGTCCAGCCGAACCAGGATCAGTGTGTTGGGGTCAACTGGGTTTCAAAAAGAGGCAAGCAAGCAGAAAAAGAAGCAGAGTTTCAACAACAAGCAGATACACAAAACTTTTAACCAGCTCCACAGGTGGCCACAGCCTGGTAGATCAGCTTCAAACAAGTTCTGCAAAGTAAAAGACTGCACTGGGAACAGGCCAAGCTCCAACATCTTTAAACAGAGATGTCGATGGAAGCAGCACAGCTAATATTTATATTAACGATGGAGTCACAGCCAAACAGGAACAGACCAGATGAAGCGATGAAGAGAAAAAGTAGAGAGAATATAAAGTTATGAGTGGAACTTGATAAAAACTGCAGAGGGGGAGAATAAATATAGAATGAGGCAGAATGAGGAAAAATTGTCACTATGTTAGAAAACTTTTTTTTTTGCCAGTTTGTATAATGGAGTGTATGTAAAACGCAATTTTAATTTGTACTGCTTTCAGACAGTAATGAGCAGCAACTTAC